CCTGTGGTGAGACTTGTGGAAGGGCTCTGTGGGGATGTCAGATGTGCAATTCAGCTGGTATATGGGGGGCCAAGGGTGATCAGTATTACCAGAACACAAAACCAATAGTACCAGCCTCTAACAAGCTGCACGTCATGAACATGCTTCACTTACCAGAAAGTTTGTTCTAGTCATTTTTGCAGATAGAAATGCAGAAGGCTAGAGCTTCTTAAAGAGCACCAAAAGAAGACCTGTATTTCAGCCAGCAGATGTTCCTGAAGACAGCTGAACTTTTTTTTTTTTTTTAAGAATTCATCCTCAGGCAAACACTCACTGTGGAAACTTTCTAGTCCAACAGTTAAGTTTAGCAACATTTTAAGCAAATGAGAACAGGTTGTTATAATGGAAACTGTTAAGCAATTTTAGCTTTTGGCAATTCTTCTAGTCTGCCCAAAATATCTAACCACACGTTATATTTACAAAGCTCTTCAGAAAGGAAAGTTAGAAATATTTTTAAGACTTCAAGATACATTCATTAATTCTGATAAAGTGAGTCTGCAAAAATCTACTCACAGCCACAGTACTGTTTGAAAATTGCTTAAGCAGTTAATCCTTTTTACAATATATGGTCTTTTAGGGTTTACTTTTGTGAAAAGGCTGCCAGAACTTGAAATACTGCTTTAGCATCAATCAATTGGCTTTCTGCACTTCACCAGCAAGTGCTTGCTCAGTAATTGAATGAATGAGAAGCTACCCAGGTTGAAATGAGCTACTGAAAAAGAGAACCATCCCTTTTTATTCTTATAGGAACAGACGTACACAAGTCAACTCTAAAAACCAGTATTCTTGAAATCGGTAGCACACCCAATACATTCTGAATGAATTAACTTTAATCTCTTGCTTTGAAGTCTCTAAAACTTAGCATACATCATACACACATGCATGCACTCATCCTAGAATAGTGTCAAAGCCACAGATAAGATACTGTACCTTATCAGCTACTCTGTAGACATCCTGCCTTTTGCTGCAGTCACAGACGTAACAGTGTACTCTCACTCCTGCATTTTGTCTGGCCAGTCTACTTGTCTCCTTGAGCCCCTCTTGATTAATGTCCCAGAGAACCACTGTGGCTCCAAGGCTGGCAAACTTTAAAGATAAGAGTCTTCCAATGCCACTTCCCGCTCCTGTTATTAATACTATTTCACCACTAACATTCTTCTTCCGTCTAGGCACAACCAAGAACACCAGTGACTCCAGCAAGTAATAAATAACAAGTCCATTGACTTTCAATGTTTCCAGAAAGAAGTTCATCTTGAGGCTATTTCTTCAGATACCTGATAAAAGAAAATGTTTACCAGATAGAACAAACATAAAGAGAGAAAATGGAAACATCAATATGGCAAAATTGAAAAGCATTTTCAGATCTGTTCTAAATATTTTCTCTAACCTCCTTCTGAGTGTTGTTCCAAAAAAAAAAAAATTAAAAAAATAGGCTTACATCTGCACATCTGATCCATTTGTCCTGTTTCTGTATTATCTCCAGGTTGCTCCTACTCTCCACCAGAACACAGCACACAATTGATTTACCATCTGTGAGAACCACGAAATACCTGCCCTTGTCTGCTTTAGAAATTCCTCACCCCTCACACCATGGGTTTCCATCTCTGCTCTGACAGAACATGGACTCAAAAACTAGAATCAAAAAAATGACAGTTGCCCCTTTGAGCATCTTAAGTTTTGATTTGTAATTGGCATGCATTTCTGATTATGGTTTGATCAAACAACTCTAGTGCTCACAAACTAGTACTTTAGGTCAGGAAAAAAATCTCCTTATAGGACCATGGCTGTTGTGCTTTGTAGGCACTCATCATCAGCAAGAAACCACATGCAGACCAAGTCACAGTCTCAACCCTGATGAAAAGCTGCCAGCATAGGGAGCTTCAGAATACAATACACTTATAAATCTCCAAAACACACCAGGTAAGTTACTGGCTGTCACTACAAGCTTTTCAACTCACAGTACTACCTTTATTGAGGAGAGCCTGCTTGTGCAGTTGAACAGTGTCTTGTTTAGTAACACACTGCAAAGCTATTGACCTTCTTCTCTTCACCTCCTTGGATTAAGCAAGTGTCATGAGCTTGAATCATACAGTCACAGGTATGTGTTTAACTTCAGTCTGTACTCACCATAGTAATGCTGACACCGAGCAGGCATTCAAGTTCTTAAAAGCCTGCTATTTATTTCCCAGTGTACAAATGCTGTGCAAGAAATCCACCCTTGGTCAAAGATTAAAACCTGCTTTGATCAACTACAGTATGAAGGATTACTATCTTCCTTCTCAGCTAAAGGTAGAGCATGCTGGCCCTTACACCTCAACCTTTAGCACTACACGTCCAGTTTGATCACATCTCCTAGTTAACATCGCTATCTATGTGTACAGGCAACTGTGTTTGGCAAGTGCCCAGAGATAAGTTACTTAGATCTCTGCTACTCTGAGCAATGTTCATGAAATTTAGCATGTGGACATACACGTGTTACGATCACTCTCAGGCTTTGTACGTGGGAAACAAAGCCAGTCCCAAAAAGGGGCAGGCCACTGCTAGAACACAGTAAGTTATTTCAGAAAGTTTTCTGGCAGCAACATTAGGACATCTTAAAACTATTCCAATAACAGAAAAAAAGTTCATCAAAAACATAGTGAGTAGAGAAACGAGTTCTTTCTGAAGAAGAGGAGTTAGAGTGAATGCTTTCTGTTCTTTGTTCCCTTTAAAATGGGACAAAATGTGTGCAGACGTTCTGGCACAGATGAAAGGCAGCAACACCACTAAGAAATGTCAAAACAGCACAGGAAGATTTTTCTAGAGCCAATATTGACACCTCCTGTAGTAGGCTCTCATAGCTGTAGAGCCACTACAGACATAAACCAGAGTTATAAAAGAAAAATCTTATTAGATGCCATGTACACCAAAAAACCAGCAAGTTTTTGGAAACAAGTTCTTTGCTGGATCTAAAACAGAAGCAACAAATACTTAAAATAAATGCAGTTGCTGACTTTAACTTGATTACACTAGCTTAATGCACTTAACGCAACATCCTCAACTTGCATGAAGAAAGATTGGTATCTGTGGATGAGATAAGGATGTCACAGTTAATCCCTATGGAAAAACAACAGAGGCAATTGCCTTCAAAGCATAGTACACAATTTGGCCTAAATACAGGTCAGAACTTATGTAAGTAATTTATTAAGCAAAATAATCATGTATTAGGCTTGCATAGGATAGAGGCACATTCGATCTTAAAGAAGTACTTAGAGAAGTGAAGCTGTTCGAGGCTTACAGACCCCAGGAGACTTTCTGTTAGAACACCAAGTCCCCATCCATCACAGATGCTCCCTTCCCACTGCCACACCCCTCACCTAACCCAGCCCTGACTGGGCCGAGAGTCCTCCGCAGCAGTACTGCTGGTTACACCACCTGCCGTAACCAAGCCTGTCCACACGGACAATGGAATTGGGCAACACTCCTGGCGGATTGTGGCTCCTCCATTAAACGGAGCAGGGCCCTGTTTACAGGTGAACTAACCAAGGGTCCCCCTGGCACATCCCAGATCCTTCTGATGCCGTGGATTGTTCGTTACTATGCCTACATCCCCACATACCTAAGTGTGGAGGGCTTTTACACTGTAGCGAGGTGCCAACGGTTTTGCCACGGCTTACCAGCCAGGCGGGCCAGCCCGGGTGTGTGACAGCGCCCGCAGCCCCGGGGCCTGCAGCCGGGCAGCGCCCACAAACCGCAGTGAAGCACCGGGGCCACCTTCCTCAACACCCAGAGGATACCGGACCTTACTCTCGCCTGCGAACGCAATCAGCATCATTTCAAAAAGAAAAAAAAACCCGCACGGGCAGTTTTCA